AAATCGCAACCACATCGGAAACCATCGAAAAAGTGTGATATCGTGTTGGACGATTGGCGAGTGAAGGTGAATGAGATAGCTGAGGCTTGAAGGTGAATGAAATAGCTGAGGAGGGGAGAAGAAAGGGCGCGAAACATCTTGCACGAAAAGCTCTGAGAAAGCGCTGCACAAGATGGAGGCCGCATTTGCTGAATGTCGATCAAAAGCAAGTGCTCAAACGATTTTCACAACGGACGCACTACGCAATCTTTGGACCAATTCAATAGGGATCCGACCGATTTTTGTGCGGCAATTTGTCACCATGGATGAGACATGGGTCCACCGCAACACGCCAGAAATAAAACAGCTGTCCAAGCTGTGGGTGGAAGCCTGTGGTTCAGGGCCAAAGAAAACGAAGTCGATCGCTTCTGCCAGAAAGGTCATGGCCAGCGTGTTCTGGGATGCGAAAGGGATCCTGTTAATTGATTACCTTGCAAAAGACAAAACAATTACAGGCGAATATTACTCCAGCCTTTTTGACCAGCTAGATGTCAAAATTCGAGAGAAGAAGTCTGGATTGAAGAAGAAAAAAAGTCATCTTTCACCAGGATAACTCACCTGTGCACAAGGGTGCGTTGGCGATGGGAAAACTGCGGGATTTGGGGTACGATTTTCTCGGCTATCCCCCCGGCTATCCCCTATTCTCCTGATTTGGCATCCTCAGAAAATTCATTTGTTCCCAAACTTGAAGAAATTTGTTTCTGGGAAGCACTTAGCCTCCAATGAAGAAGTTGAGAGGGCCATAGATGAATATTTTCACAACCTTCCAGACTCTGACTTCCGGGAAGGAATACTGATGTTGGAGAAACGTTGGATCAAGTGTGTTGAAGTCGAGGAGATTATGTAGAAAAATAAAATCCTTTTTAACTGAAAGTCGCAGTCTTTCATTGTCAGACCAAGAACTTTTCACCTTACCCTTGTATATAACGTAAGCCGTACAATTGTAGTGTAAACTATTATGAAAATAAATTTAGGATTGATTACATGTTATGAACTTTTTTTCAAATGTTAATAATTTTTATAATATGAAGTATATTAGTTATTTTTTTTTTAATTTATTGAAACTTATTTTTATTTAAAATAAAATTTAAACTACCATTCGAATTTTTACAAGGCTTTATGTGAGTTACTTTATTTAAATAAATATTAGTGAATTTACAATATAACAAAATAAATATTAGTAAATTTTAGTGAAAAATAATTTTTATCTTGCATTCTTCATGCTTCAGTTATGTGTTTATAACATTTTGAAGATAACTTTTTGAAACACTTTTGTTCATTTGACAGTTAAATAAAGAATATATAAACTAAACAGTTAATCTTAACGAAGTTCATTTTTTATCCTACTAGAAATGTGTCGTCCTTTTTAACGACCAGCTCTTTCAGAACAAAGTTTCAATGATGTCCACTGCTTCCTTATAATTTATGTTGATTACGACTTGGCGGAGGAAATGTGCATGAAATCGTAAGAAATGACACAACCAAATTAAGAAATGGAGAATGAATGAGATTGTAATATTGGAGCTGCCAGGAGACAAATATCTTAATTTTAGGATCTTTTATCTAGGAGAGTCTTTACAAATCTCGACAAAAAAGATAAACCTAAATTATCTTTTTTAAGGAGACAAATAACCTGCAGAAGAATTCTTATATGAGTACGTTAATTTGAAATTTTAAGTCTATACCAATTTACATAAAATTTATCCTTTTTGGGAGAAGCATAGCTGAAAAAAGGGTAAAACTAAATAAAACTTATATATATCTTAAAGGAATTAATGAATATATTATCTAGTTTTTCTAAAATTTGATAATTGTATATATACACAGTCCAGTCACATTAATGTGACCACCTGCCAAAAAGCCAGAATAAACACTCTTGTATATTCTGGCTTTAAGTGGAGTGTGGAATGTGGTATTAAGTGGAATTCTTTATATACACTCCACTGCAATGTGCTGCCACCTGCCTTTTGTGATTGGTTATTTCACGTTGACGTCGAAAGTAGGTGATGGTCACATTAATGTGACTGGACTGTGTATATGAGACAATTTTTAGTATTTAATGGCAATTATGAAGTTTTTAGCCAAAAACCCAACTAAAGTGTGAAGCACATTTCCACGACACAAAACACATCTCTACTTCATTTCCTACAGTTCCTATAAAGGGTAGGATATTAAATTACAATTTAAGAATTTTCTTCATGTGTTTCTTTTAGTTTTAGTCATATGAAAATGAAAATATATATATATATATATATATATATATATGATATATATATATATATATACAAAAAGAGATGCGACTGGAATTTTTCTGATGTTTTGAATTTTCAAATTACATAAAGGATTTATTTCTAGGTGAAAAGGATTGTGAAAAAAACGGATTGTAACGAATAGAATTTGATATCAATATTTAAGACCCAATAAAGTAAAGATATTTTAGTTGTTTCGGAAAAACGGAGATAGAAATATTGCAAACCATGCTTGCAATAAATTACATATTTGAAGACTATGGAAAAAAAAAAAACAGCTGAAAGAATTTGATACAAATCCCTTCGTACTTCTTTCCACAGAATTGCTAAGTTAGGTTAATGAATTGGCATTTTTAAAATTTACTTTACATGCAAATTTATTTTGGTTTAAATAAAAATGTTGTAAAAATAGTAAAATTTCATTTTGTTAATTCAGAGGGAAAACATTTTAGTTATTCGCAAACAGTGAATAAGGAATATATAATGCATATTTTCCTTGAATTAATATTCATGTATTCGCCAAGTGACGAAAGTCTAAGACGAGTGATCTTAGGACCGTGAAAATGTGAAAAACTGTTCCTGGCAAATAAAGAATTGTAGTGTTGTCGGTTCGAGCGGGCCTCTCCTTGGGTCCCAGATTGTGGGTTGTGCAGCTAGATTATAACTGGGTGTGCGTGGGTTAAGACTTGAGCCATTGGTTTTAGAACTTCCAGATTTATTTACACACGCACAAACATCACATACGTACAATTAACTACAGACAGTATTTAACACATTTAAAGACATAATATTATAGTTTCGTGGAAGGATTCCACGAATAAGCCGAAAATAAAGATACTCAGGTACGCGCTGGATGCGCGAAATGTACTTCCTCTCCGGGTGAGAGGCCAACCGAACATTTCTACTGAAAGTCACAGGGGGCGCTCTTATAGTGCGTATGAGGAAACAAGGCTACAGAATATATAAATTGAACAGTCAAATTGTGCGAAGGCTGACATTGAACTTATGTGAAATCTGTTGTCATTTTTAAAGATGATGAATTGACTATATCTCTTCAAATAAAGTTTCAATGACTATGTTGTGATAACTTAATTCTTCATTTGAATGTTAATTATATTATTTTGAGTACAAATTAATGGAGAGTTTCGATCTGCAATCGTAAGGAATGACATAAATTAAACATGGTGCAAATGCAAGAGTGAATGTAACTTAACCTAGAGGAGTTGTCAGGAGCCAAACATTTTTGAGGGTTTGGCAAATTGGAGAAGCATACAACCTGTTATATTTTCAAAAGGAAATTAAATAAAATACATAAAAATCCTTGTGGGAGTATATTAATTTTTATATTTGCCTACATTACATGATATATAATGTAAATTTTCCTACCGAAACATAGTTGACAAAGGGGGTAATAACGTGTTTTTATTCATTTTAGAAGCCCTACAGGGATTAAATCATCTGTTTTTCCGTAAATGTCGGAAAAATATATGCACATAATATATGAAATATATGAATATGAATATGAATATATATATAATATATGAAAATAATAATATAATTTAAAAGTCATTAGAAGAAAAAACTTCAACTTATCAAAGCCCTGCTCACATTCAAATGTTCATTTGATTTTCTCTGTGTTTACTGTATGCATTCCTACTATTCATACGAAGAATGCGTACAGTAAACACAGAGAAAACATGGTAAGTGTTCACAAATAGTAAATAAAGAACAGGCTAATTGTTTTTCACGGGAAACAATCCTTCATAGAGTCGCCAAGCCACAGTAATCCATAGAGAATTTCTTTGGCCACCTTTACTTATAATCGACGAAAATTAGAAGATCTATTTTTGGTAAATAAATATGGGTGCGCAGAAGATCTACCTCCCCGTGGTGCACCTGGTAACACTTTTTAGTGGCTAAAAGATCTGCAACTTGGCATTATTGTTAGATTAATGAACTCTGCTTCAGCATGTTTTGTTGTATTATCAGTTTTTTTCGTTGTTCTTTTTTTTGCTGTAACTGTTCATAATCTGCAATTGGAAATAAAAAAAAAAAAATTTTTTTTGGTAAATAAAGAACACATAAACTAAATAGCAAATATTAAGGAAGGCTATTATTTGTCCTACTTGAAATTTATTGCTATTTTCAACGGTGCTAATTTGATCATTTCTTTTCAAATAAAATTTCAATCATTCTAATTTAGAGACAATTTGATTCTTCATTAATATGCTCCTTATATTTTATGAAGACTACGACATGGCAGAAAAATGCACTAAAGATTTTATTTGCTATCGCAAGAAACGACACAGGCAAATTAAATATTGTACAAATGGGAAATGAATAAAACTGTTCTAATGGAATATTTAGGTGACAAATATTTTAGAGTGTTTGCCCGGACTAACCAGTGTAGAATCTGTTTGCTGTTGTTTCTTATCCCACTTGGGATGTTGTTTCTTATCCAAGCCCACGAGCCCATACGTACTCATGATTGAAGGGGAAGGAAGCAGCTTCTGTTGTGATGGAACACCCGTAGGTAGAAAAGTCAGACTTTGGCTCCGTGACTCTCTTACAGTCACAGGAGACCGGGATCTACGGCTTAAAGTGGATTCCGAACCACTACAAACATCCATGGCACCACCGGGATTCGAACCCGAAACCTGTGACACCGAGCGCTAGACACTCGGCCATTCAGGTCCCAAATTTGTGAATGCCAACGGCACGCTGTGTTCCCAGGTGGTCACCCACCCAAGTACTGACCGTGCCCAATGATGATCTAACGAGAACCGGTATATTCAGCCTGGTATGGCCGTTGGCTATATGAATAAAACTATTCTAATGGAATATTTAGGTGACAAATATTTTCGAGTGGTTGCCCGGACTGACCAGTGTAGAATCTACCACTCGAATATGGTGGTGGTTATGGAGTAGTAAACTTTTTCTGTAAATGTGTTTATTTAATATATAACGTTTATCTTATTTGGTTAAAGCATATTGAATGGGGTAATTACATGTATGAATGTGCAACATTTTTATGCATCTCAAAAACGCTAAACTGAATAAATAATAGATTTTTCAGAAATGACAAAACTATATATATGCATACCAATATTGTGTATTACTAATTGTAATTGTGACATCTATATTGTGCATTGTATTAATTACAATTAAGATGTCTTTTAGAAAAAAAAAGGCTTACCTGTTAAAGCTCACTTTCAAGTATTTCCTAGCAATTTGTATAGTAGAGTGTTAAAATATTCAAGTTCTACGCTTGTATCAAATTTTCTTTCTCCAAAGCTTTTAACTAAATAAGCCTTAAAAATATACTTTAATGTTATCGCCTTCCTTTCAGAAGCGTTGAATTTAATTGGAATTAAAATTAAAGATACTCCTAACTCATATCGCCAGACCTTGTATCCATTATTCAAATTAACCATTAAAATCAACAGCTTCTTTTATGAAACATTGTTTTAACTGGCGCTGAGCTAGTGCTACTTCTAAAGTCATAAAGCTACAAATTCAAATATCATTGTTAAATCTCGCTTTCTTCAACTGGAGTTAATCGATGATTCCTGCCAATGTAGTTAATTAATCATTTATGTTAATTGTAGTATAACTTTGTTGAAATATTGGTACTTACGTATTAACACTACCTTGGCTACAGATTTGGCGGTTTTTAAGTGTCGCCAATCTAACAGCTACAGATTTGTCGGTTTTTAAGTGGCGCCAATCTAACAGCTACAGATTTGCTGATTTTTGGCGCCATTTTTTAGTGCTACGAAAATGCGTATTTGGGATTTGCCAGAAACAGAACAAGATGCAATTTTATTTTTCAGGTGCGAAATATTTTACCAAAAAAAAACGAAAATGTCCCAATTCCCATGACATGAAACTTTATTTTGGTAAACGTAAGTTTTGGAAATAGTAAATAAAGAACAGTCAAGTAATTTCAGTCAGTGCGCTTATCATGTGGGACTTTGAAAAGACAACTGGTTTGAGGGAAGCAGAATTTTAAAAACCGCCAAATCTGTAGCTGCGGTTGGCGTTCAAAAGATAACTGCGTGCGCGTGCGAACAACAAGATTGCTCTTTATTAGCGCAACTGTAGCCAAGGTAGCGTTAATACGTAAGTACCGAAATATTTTGATCGAACAGAATTGTTTTTTAAAGAAATCTTTTATGAGTAACATCCACTCTTTCATCATGCAATTGAATCCTGTTGCTTTTGAAAAAATTATTTCTAGACAATTAAAAGAAAATGAAAGTAAAAGAAAAAAAAAATATATATTAGCTAAATTGTTTTTAAAGCAATGCATTTTTCAAAATCTTTTTCCAACTTTTTATTTATTAATTTTTATACTAGTTATTATATACTGACGTAAAAAGTTTGTAAGGCACTTGACAAATAAAAATATGAAATCATATCAAGTGGAATTATCTTTTTAAGTGAAATCAGATTTATTAGTTTACTTTATTATTATCAGATTTTTTTATTATTTATTGAAATTAGATTTATTACCAAATAATCGAAAGAATTAACTAAATAACAATAATTTTTTATGTATAATTCTAAGAAACAGTCGGAAAGAAAAGGAAATTACAGGAATACTGAAGAAGAATTTTATTTTTTGATTTGTTTTATTCCTTGAGAATATTTCTTTATCTTCTAAGATAATTTAATTGTGTTTAATATAGAAATAAAAAAAAAAAAAAAGATATTTAGAATTTTGTATTTATTTTTGCCCAAGAAGGATTAGTGTATCTATTTAGGAAACTTTTCTAAATCCTGAAACTAAGTTCTTGCAGAGCAATAAAGTCATAAGCAACTTGTATTTTTTATTTGACTCATTTAAATACAGTGAGCCACAAAATTGAGTATACACCTCTAAAACTTTTAGACTTCTTCCAATTACAAATTAAATATTGATTTAAATAGATAAATTTTTTATCCTAGATACTTTAACCTCTGCTTTACCATCCTATAATAACACAATTCTATAGTTAATTTATTTATTACGAAAAAGTTAAGCGATTCGAAGAAAAGATAGAAAACCATGCCACAAAATTGAGTATACACTTATCATATTTGTTAATTACGCCACCACTTTTTTTAGTTTCAAATTTTCTTTAAAGAGTTTCAGGAGTAGCTGCTGCTTATAACACGTGCTATTGCACGTCAACGCTTTTAAATAGTATTTTTTCTCATTAAAAATCGTAAAAATGAGCTCTCGTAGAGAAACTACTGAATCTGAGCGTTTATTGGTTGTAAAATGGTCGAAAGAGAGCAAATCTCTTCGAGAAATCGCTTCGTTGATTGGTGTAACTCATGGTTGTGTCCAAAAAATACTACAGAAGTATAAAAAAACTGGATCTGTGGCCAATATTCCTGGAAGAGGACGTAAAGAAATACTGAGTACTACAGCGAAGAGGAAGATCATTCACTCAGTAAAGAAAGATCCGAGGGTGAGTGCCTCTAAACTAGCTTTTAACGGTGTCCTCTACAATCGGGAAAAAGATCTCAGTTGAAACAATTCGACGTACCCTTCACCAATATGGGTTTCATGGCCGTACACCAATACGAAAGCCACTCATCAAGTATGTGAATAGACAAAAGAGAGTGATTTTTGCCACAGAACATCGTTTAAAGCCTATTTTATTTCTGAACACTGTAATATTTTCTGATGAAAGTAAGTTTAATCTTTACGGAAGCGATGGACGATTTAAAATATGGAGAGAAGCTGGGAAAGCACTGGCTCCTAAAAACACCATTAAGACAGTCAAGTTCGGAGGTGGATCTGTCCTCGTTTGGGGTTGTATGTCGGCTGGAGGAGTTGGAGAGCTTGCTTTTATTGATAGTATTATGGACAAATATGTATATTTGGGGATTTTAATTGATAACTTGAAAAAAAAAAGTGCCAGTAAGTTGGGGCTTGAGTCAAGCTTCATATTCCAGCAGGCCAACGACCCCAAGCATACAGCGAAGATTGTGCAGTTATACTTGCTGTACCATTGCAAGAAGCAATTACACACTCCAGCCCAGTCTCCAGACCTAAACGTCATCGAAAATTTGTGGTCGAAATTAGAGAAAGCTGTACATGAGCACGAAATCACAAGCAAGGAAGTTCTCAAGAAGGTTCTGAGAGAAGAAGGGGCTAAAATTTCTGTTGAAACCACTAAAACACTAGTAGAATCTATGTTCAGAAGATTACAAGCTGTAATTCAAGCAAAAGGTTATGCAACAAAATATTAATTTTACGTTAATAGGAAATTAATAAAGGTGTATACTTATTTTTGTGGTGTTGTTTTTCCTCTCGTCTCAGATCTTTTATTTTTTTTTCGTAAAAAATAAATAAACGTAACAATTTTATAAGTATAGTACGGTAAAGCATAGACTAAAGTATATAAGGTAAAAAATTCAATCATCTTAAAGCAATATTTAATTTGTAATTGCAAAAAGTCTCCAAGATTCTAAGGTGTATACTTAATTTTGTGGCCCATTGTATGTATTGTAAATGTGTACTTTTAAAAATTTTAAACCATTTAAGTAAAATGGATGCATTACATTTAATAAGCCTATGAGGCTAACTATTATAGATTTCTGGGAGCTAGCAGGCTAATTGTCTAGCGCTCTGACACTCGGTGCAACAGGTTTCAGCTTCGAGTCCCGGCGGTGTCATGGATGTTTGTAATGATTCGTTATCCACTTTCTGCAGTAGTTCCGGTATAATATGACTACCATACCACACCACATCACATCACTGTGCCTAGACCTGAGTTGCCCCTATACAGTTTGGGAATGATGTGGGTGAGAAGTCTGACTGGGCTCTGTGACGGTCTACTGTCATAAGAGACCGAGACCTACGGCTTAAAGTGGATTCCGAACAACTACAAACATCCGCCGGGACACGAACCCGAAATCTGTGGTACCGAGAGCCAGAGCATATTAGACCTCGACCATCAGGCCCCGGTATAATATGACTCTAGAGCGTTGAGCGTAGGGCTGACAACTTTACCTTGTAAAAAAGGAAGCATCTCCTGCCTTGAAATGTCTGTACGCAGACAGCCTCTGCCCACCAGAGGGCTGTTGCGTCAATGAAGGAGAAAAAGAAGAAGCAATATAATAATAATGAAATTATAATGGCTATTATTATATTTAAATTAAAAAATCAAAATATTAATTTAAATTAAAAAAAAAAAAAAATTAACTAATTATTGTAAAACAACAATAATTTGATTTTACAATGTTAGATTATAACATATTTTTATAAATTGAACAGTGTTTTGATTTCGCTCGATCAATGACAAGTCAGTTAAGCGAAGTCAGATTAATAAGATGCACAATCCAAACAGCAAATTTATAGAATTTTATTAATGCTATAAACATACATAAGCACATACAAGGATAATGGAACATAATGTTTTAGTTACTCTCTATACAGAGAATTTCATTTAGCTACATTCAAATCAGTATTAATGCACTTACAAATAGTCAATAGAATTTATTTGAATAATCAAAACAATATATATATAGAAACTGAAACTATTCAAATATTTAATGAAATAATTCATGCTTATTTTTTAAAATTAAACATTCAAAGTATTATTATTCATGTATTTAAAAATTAAAAGTTTACATTTATGATAATATAAATCGATACGTTTTTACCAAAGTACAAAAGATAACTAAATCAATAGAATTTTTATATAGACATAGATTATAATCCTATATCAGAAATCATAAGGAAAGAAGATCATAATTATAGTTTCGAAACAAAAAAATAGCTAATAATAGTTAACTACACACGTTTATCATTG